TTTATATTAATATATATATTAAAATATATATTTGTATATTTTTAGATCAAACAAGCCATTGACCACTTGATCTAGATTCATCTTATTTTTAATTTTTTTTCAACAAATTATATGAATAAAAAATATTGTAGGCGTCATCATCGCAATGGGGCACACCTAAAAAAACTATAACAAAAAAAATTCTAGTAAAATAAAATGACCAAAATACCCCTGAAACTTTCAAGGGTATTTTGGATATTTTATTCCTTTGGGAATATTTTTTTTATATCTTTTTCAGGTACGAGTTTAAGAGAGGAGTAGACGCCAAAAATTTGGTGTCATAAGGTTTTGCAGAAAAAAACTAAAAATAAAATAGTATAGAGGCGTGACATCGTAATTGGATCTATCTCAACCATTCATTCAGATTTGATGGCTAGATAAGGATAAGTATATAACTATACATTAGGGGAAGTATAAGAAACTTGCCCAAACGTTTGACCATAGGTTTTGTTTTCATATGTTCTCTTCCCATTCTAAACATGTCTAAGGCAATTTTATCGTGAAAATGTTCCTCAAGAAATATTTTCACACCAACCAAACGTGCCCATGGCTCACTAGGCCCCTTCTGTCACTTGATTAACACAAACAACAAGGGTCAAGCACACATGAAATTGATTCAAAGAAAACAATTGAAAAATTCTCATAAACCGGTCAAAAATACATATGAGAGAGAAGCTGTCCTAAAGTTTCAGTCTAAATGTATGAGGATGTCTCTCTAACTCTATAATCTCTTTTTAGATCTTTAACATAATCTCTGATTTCTGTCAAAAATAAATAAATAAATAAATGTATGAGGGTGTCTATAGCAGTTTGATTTCCTCTAAAATGCATGGACCACCTTTGGGCACACCAATTTAAATTTCTACACGCAAGAAAAAAAAAATCATAATGCATAATTTGCTAAACAAACTCAAAAGCATTTGTGAATGATGGAGAGTACAAGAAACTTCAAAAGCATTTGTGAATGTAGAAGTCTAGGGTTATTTATGTTTATGGTCCACATAAACATTATAAAATGGCTATAATATGATGGTGCTAATATAAAATGGCAACTGTACGTTTAGAAACCTAATGTTATGATTAATTTAAATAACTTTTTTTCCATGGGACTGTTAAGATCAAGCCACGTAGTATTTCAATTGCACCCTATCATGGTCAATTCAAAATGAACTTTAATGGAAGCACGAAAGGAAATTCAGGTGTGGCTGATATTGGTAGTGTAGTACGCAACTGTTAGGGGATGTCATCTTCATCTATGTTGGACCTATCTGAATAGCTACCGCTAACTATAAGGAATTGTTAGCTTTATTAATTCGAAATCCACTGATGATGTTTCTTTGAGTAGGTCTCGAATTAATAAAGCTTTAACATTTGTAAAAAAAAACAAAAAAAACTATACGTTTAGAAAATTAATTATACCTTTTCATGACATAGATATGTCAAAATAATAAACAACGAATAATAAAAATGCTATTATCCAAGTACCTACCAGATTAACTTTACACACTGTTAAAAGGAGTTTCCTCCTGGCCAAGAACTTCCGAAATATCAACAAAAAAAGATTGTTGTCCCATCATTCTATAGAGGAAACCAAGGATTCAGCTGTCCCATCATTCTATAGAGGAAACCAAGAAGTCTTGAAATTCAGTATAAACCATGAATGCCGAACATCATCCCCCTCTCAAGAAAAATATCATAAACATTTATATCATCTGAATCTTGTCTTAACAATTTGGGGTTTGCTATACGAATCATGTTCCCCCAATCTACTCTATCAAGGGTCCGATCCTCAGTAAGACCACAAAGTCACTATATCTTTTTTCATTACTTCCACCCATATCTTTTTAGGATTTGCTTTTATTTTTTTGGAGTTCTACTTGAACTAAATAGCACCTCCTTGTGATTGTTGTATTAGGTTTAAGTTGCACATAGCCAGCCCATCTAAGGCTACTTTCGCTCATCTTATTGCATATTGAAGCCATTCCTAAGTTCCCTCGGATGTATTCATTTCAAACTCTATCCTTTTTTATCTTGCCACTCATCCATTAAGCATCCTCATTTAAGCTATATTCATCATATGGGTATGTTGTTTGTTGAAGCATGACTGGTCCTACCTTTCAATTTCATTGATAATAAGACGATCACATAAAAATCCAAATACACATCTCCACTTCGCCCACCTTGCTCTAATTCTATATACGATATCTTCATCAATTTCTCCATTCTCCTGGATCATCGACCTAAAATATCAAAATTAATCTCTTTGAAGTATTTCTTTGTTACCAATCTAACTACTTCATTGTTTCTACTCCTATTATTACTAAACTTACTTCTCAATTAGTTCTCTAATTAGGAAGATGACCTCAATTGTTGAACTTCCTGATATAAAACCGAATTGATTTTCTAATCCACTCGTTTCATGACTTAGTCGTTGCTCATCACTCTCTCCCACAACTTCATATTGTGGCTCATAAGTTTAATCTCTTGATACTTCCTATAATTTTGTATGTCTCCTTTTTTCTTATAAATAGGTACAACAATATTTTTTCTGTATTCGACTAGTATTTTCTTTGTTCTCAGCACCTTGTTGAAAAATGCGGTTAGTTTTGCATATGTCAATCCCCTGCATTTCCAAACATCTATCGGGTTACCATCTATTACTAAAGTCTTTCCTATCTTCATCTTTCTCAAAGCTTCTATTACTTTAGATATCCTAATCGTACGAATGAATCTATGACCTCTGTCCTCATTCATATAAAAGGTTCTTCCTAACGCTAATGTCCCCATAGTGTTTCTCATTTAATAAATTTAAAAAATAAGCTATCCACCTGTCTTTGACCTCATCATCCTTCACCAAAACCATCTGATCCTCACTTTTAATGCATTTAATATGATCTAGATCCCTATACTTCCTCTCGCTCATTGTTGTTAGTTTTAAAACATCTTTTTCACCTTCTCTTGTCCTAATCTATTATATAAATTATCATATACCTTAAGTTTAACCTTGTTTACTATTTTCTCAACAATTTTATATTCTTCTAAGTTTTGATCATTTTCATTACATTACTTCTCAAAAAAATATAAGTACCCAAAAAGTAAAATAATCCACTATATTTATTACAGTTCACACCTAATTTGGAACCTTCTTGTGCCATGGGGACCATAAAAAGTAAATGACTGATGTTCATCATTTTAGCCCAAGTACCAGAACTAGGGTTTGCTTTGGAAGTTACAACACCAAATCTAATGTTGTAAGGCACAAATTTTTACGCACCAAAATTGTCATTTTTTTCCAGACATGCTTTATGCAGTTTCGAGGCTAGACACTAAAATGCAACAAAATATAATCCTTTATATGATAAGAATTCCTTGACAAAGTCCATGATGATCTTCTCAAAGACAACTGTGATGGCCATCAATTCCACTTGGGGCTTCCAATGGAGTTTTAATCATATTAGAATCTGAAACAAACTCACAAAATTCAAATTGTAAAGGACCTTAGTTTCTAGAAGACTGTTATTATTGTGGAGATGATAAAAATAAGAGCAAAGTACATGGATTTTCTTATTTGTAGTTTTTGTGCTGCTCCCATTTTGGATGTCAAAAATTCAAAACCTAAGGTATCAGTGGTTATTTTTTGTGTACTAAATATCAAGAATTCTATGCTAAAGAATTTTACAGTTCCTCGTTCACGATTACAACTGAAGATGAACAAGATATTGAAATTGTACACAGTCAAATTTCATTAATTTCTTTTTGTAAATATTACAAGGATTCATTGAAAAAAAAGAATTATATCTCAGTTACATAAATCAAGGGACCATTATGAGCCATCCTCCTTTAAAGGAACTTCAGAATTTGGAGAGGCCACATTGTTTCCTGCTCTCTCTTTGGACTCAATTAGCATCATCACGACTTCACGCATAGTTGGTCGATCAAAAGGCGACATACTCGTGCAAAGCAAAGCAATTTTCAGGACAGTGATCATGTGATCAACAGTATTTCCATCATCCAAGTTTAATCGAGAATCAAGTACCTTCGCATTCAACTGAAGGTTCTGGATTGTGCTTCTCACCCATGTAACCAAATCTCCCCCTTGGTCAAGTGGTTGTACTGGTGTTCGACCAGTTAACAACTCCAATAGAACAACTCCATAACTATAAATATCACATTTTTCTGTAACTTTCATTGTGTATGCATACTCTGTAGCCCAATAAATGAAAGAGGAGTTAGTTCCCAACAACTGAAATACATATATGCCTGAAAAATGATAACGAGAAGGTATTTCATTCAACACAAATTCATAATTGTTAAAAACGTTCGACAGCTGAGAAATAACAAACTGTACCCATTAATGTGTGATCACTGGGGAAGGACATGGGTATCTAGAGTTACATCTATATATATATATATATAGGAAAATTCTTACAAATGCCTATAGGCGAATTGCTACAGTGTATCACCCGTGATAGTTTTGCTTAAAAACCACCATGGACCTATGGAAAACGTGGCGGTCCCCTTATATTTTTTGCGTGAAAAACAATCCTGCCACGGACATGCTATATCCGTGACGATCTTTAATCCACGCCGTCCAACAAAATCAGACGGCCTTGAGCCTATGGACAAAAATATTGTTCATTTTCGCCCATAGGTGTTTTGTAGTTTCTTCCATATATATATATATATAGGGAAAAGATCCAGTCAGCCCACGGCCTGATAGCTACAGTGTCGGCCAACGGCCCATATTGAATCTAGGTCTAATCCAATGGCCACGACCTCATTTTGTATTTAAATTTTCATTTTTTTTTTATACAAATCCAAATCATTTGAAATTTAAAGCATCTATTTTTGAAGCATAGTAGAATCTAATAAAAATATTAAAAAAATAATTCGAAAAATATAAATTGACTAAAATACCCCTGAAACTTTTTGGAGGTAGTTTGGTTTTTTGCAAATTATTATTTTTATATTTTTATTAGGTGCACCTTGATGATTAGAATGTACGCTTAAATTTTCAAGTGATTTGGATTACTACAAAAAAAAATGAAAATTCTAATACGAAATATGGTCGTGACCGTCAGATTGGCCCAGATTCAATCTGGGTCATTGGCTGATACTGTAGCAGTCAGCTCGTGGGCTGAAGCATCCATTCTCATACATATCTATATATATATATATATATATATATATACTTAC